AGTTGCCAAGGGTCCGACTTTTGATCACGTGACCGTGGGGAGGCTGCAACCGGTCATAAGTACAAGTCAGTTGCCAAGGCTCCGACTTTTGATCACGTGACCGTGGGGAGGCTGCAACCGGTCATAAGTACAAGTCAGTTGCCAAGGGTCCGACTTTTGATCACGTGACCGTGGGGAGGCTGCAACCGGTCATAAGTACGAGTCAGTTGCCAAGGGTCCGACTTTTGATCACGTGACCGTGTGGAGGCTGCAACCGGTCATAAGTACGAGTCAGTTGCCAAGGGTCCGACTTTTGATCACGTGACCGTGGGGAGGCTGCAACCGGTCATAAGTACGAGTCAGTTGCCAAGGGTCCGACTTTTGATCATGTGACCGTGGGGAGGCTGCAACCGGTCATAAGTACAAGTCAGTTGCCAAGGCTCGTCAGTGTGAAAAAACGGTCACAAGTCAGCATCTTTCAGCCCCGTTGTAACTTTGGATGGTCCTAAACCGTTGCGAGTTGAGGACTAGCTGCTTATTTTAAATCGGGGGGGGGTGTCAGCTAAGGTGTGTGGGGATCCGCATGAGAACCGCCCGTGCTAAAAGGTAACACACTTCAACGATTTAATAGTTAGCAATATTACCCTTCAATTATCTATGTTCGGTGTTTGTCCTCCGCCTATTTTTCAAACAGCTTTGTGTCGCTCTTGTCTGTTTTGGCCCGGGGCCCTCGACACGCCCACGAAAGTCCGGTGCGACCTTGTACTTTAACACAACGGCCCGAAACAGGCTGATTTCAGAAACTAAATTGGAGGCTTTTAGACAGCCCCGGTGTCTTTTTTTTTCTTCTTCTTTTTTTCTCTTTATCTGTCTCCTGCACGCTTTCTGATGAGACAAAAACAGGTTTCGGCTTATGGTGCATTTCAAAAAAAATAAATAAATGACTTTTTGCATAGCAAAGATGGCTAAATCTCTCTCTCCCTGGCGAGGCTGTTTACTTCTTTCCAGGTTGTTAGTTTATATTGCAGCAAACCTATTGGATCTCCTTTGTTTGTTGCTCAAGGACGTAATTCAGGTTGGGAAGTTACCCCGGGTCCCGCTTAATTGAGATCAGCCATGTAGGATTGCTAGAGAAAATATTGTAATTTTGGGGGGGTAACAGGGGCCATTACATTATGCAGAGAGCTACCTGAAGCATACTACGTAAGATTTATTAGCAATTATACGAAATTGCCCCCCCCACCCCTCCCTATATAATATAGTTTTCACTCCCTGCCCATGGATTTATGCTGTGGGGACGCAGGATTCAAATTA